GCCTTTTCCAGGCGTAAGATTATATTTGAACGTCCCCTCTAGGCTTTTTCTGGATGAATCGATCCATGTCTAGATCTACCTTCCTGGCCTAAGAATAAGATCTAAAGTCTTTCACAAATTTTTAAACTAGTTCTATCTGCCTAGTGCTAAGGAACCATGCAAGCTAAGTAATCAGACGATTGTGTACGATTGAGTTTACTCTTGATATCTAGATCTAGGGTCTAGATTTAGCTAGATCTAGAAGAAGTAGAAGATGATTCAGTCCAAACAGGACTATTGGGGAGGTCAGGTCGGGACGAGTCGGTTTGCTCGACAGACTGGATAGCACAAAGTGGCTATCGTGGCACAAATCGATCGCGCCCGACTCGTTGCCTCAAAAACAAACGCATTGTTTTCAGGCAACGAGTCGGGCGATCATCCGCAACGGGCACTGGGCACCCCGTAGTGTAAAGGAAGTGGTAGATCTAATTTCAGGTGTACGAATTGCCCCCCTTCGCGTCGTTATTTTTAGTTGTGTAAGAAAATTTCGGTTATTTTTACCGAAATTAAATTATTATTTTTTCAACTTTTGCAGAAAATTGCCTAAAATTCGCAAATTCATGAAAATGGCAAAAGTTGCGCAAAAGTTGCGCTGAGGCCAAAAGTTGCGTGCGCAACTTGCGGGTTGCGCGCACGAATTCCTCTGAGGACAGACAAGCGTCTTGTTGGGCTCGCTTTTGTGACCGGTCAATGAACCTGCGTGCGTTCTGAGCACTGCGAAGTACATACTACAGGACTCAGGTAAGGGGGGAGATTATTGATTTTTTTTTTAAGACGCACTCGGGGATAGGGGGAGGGCTGGACGCAACACCAGAGGACAAAAAACCTGAAACTGGAAATAAATGTTCAATGTAGTAATGTAGTATAGAATTTTGATTACTACTTCAGCTCTCTGCAAACTGCAAAGTAAATTGTGCGTTGTTGCACGCCTTGTGTGAAATGGGGAGCCGTCATAACTTGTAAGCGTGTTATGGAATTTAAGGGTCTAAGTGTTCGCGTTTCATTGGATTGGTGACAGTAAATTAGATCTCTATTTTTTAGCTTTCTGTTCAAGATTCGCAGATTTTCTGTATCAATATCACTGCATCTTGCCCTCCCACAGTTCTTACACCTCTCACACTGACTAGGTCTACTTGGGCTATTCTGCGTGTACTCGACTTTGAGTTTGAGTATTAATTTTTGTCTTTCACATTTATTATATAGGCCTATATATATAACATGAATCATGACAGTGGATGTTCTGATTTAAACAGGCGAATATGATGAAAGGAAAATGTAAATAAGTCACACAAGACCCCAGGCGCCACCACTTTCTGTACGTAATCAAGATTGTAAATATTAAAAATTTGGTACGTGACTCTTACTTGAAATTATCTCCCAAACTCTCAAATTGGTGTGAAACAACATTGCTTTGATAAATTGATGGTTTTTATTTCAGCATTCTAGGGTCCAACAGTATAATAATAATGGGTGTTTCGCGAAAATGGGCTTCTGTGGCGATCACCCGGAAAGTTCCTCCTTTTTTAGAATTCTGAGTTGAGACCCATGCGTGTAGTACGGCTCGATTTGAAAAGTGAAATGGCCAAAGCATCTTTGCAGACGACCATTTTAGTTTACTATTGAGCTAAGGCCGTCGTTATTTGGACTCGAGTCCGAATAACATTTTTTCATATTCGGACTCGAGTCCGAATTTAAAAAATTTCTTATTCAGACTCGAGTCCGAATATGAAAAAATGTTATTCGGACTCAGGTCCGGAAAAAAGGAAGTGTCTTCGTTCTATAGATCTAACGTTCAGTGCTTCCAATTTTCCGCCATTTTTTAGTTTCCCCCACACCTTATCTGCCGATCCAATGCCCGCTGCCTCATTGATACGCCCCCCATCCCCCCCCCCCCATGTTTCCCACTTTCTTTGTTGTAGAAAAAGGTAGAATTGAAGATTAGCAGACCACCTGGCACCTACACATTATGAGCTGTGTAAAAAAAAAAGACTGATTCATTCAAATACACAAGCCTGTGTCATCTCGAGCCTGTGTCATCTCGATTGTTTACCAAGAAAAAGTTGTGTTGCTGTGTAGAGCCGAGCATACGACTACTTTTGATTCCATAGGCTAGCGCACAATTCATTACGTAGATCTACGTCAAGACTAGCTTATTATTGTAATAATGATCAGTTGCCGGGGGATAAAAGACAGACGCTTATGCGACGTTCAACGCCCGGACCGATAGTGCCCCCCCCCCCCCCCCCCCCCGGAAAAGAAAAGAGGAGAAAAAGATTGAGCCCCGCCTCTTGTCCCAAACACATGCTAACGAGCTATCTTTAATTGCTTCTGGTGACCTCTTGACAAACATTTATTAGAAGCGCTATAACTTTTCAGGCCGGCCTCAAATTCATCGTAAGATAAAAACTCGGCTCCTGCACAAAACGCCATTTTGCCCGAAGTGATCCCGGTCTCTACCCAGCCTGAGGCAAGTCACGAGTGAGGCAGGACAGGAAGCCAGAGTCACGAGTCTCAGGAAGTCGGAAGTCGGAAGTGATGTCATGTTGGACAAGAATCAGAGTCTGAAGAACATTTTTTCATATTCGGACTCGAGTCTGAATAGTCACTTCGTTGAGCTAAATTAGATTAGATCTATAATAATCTAGGTGATCTTATACTTTAGCCCGTTAAATTCCCAAAGTCTACTCGTGTGTCTAATCCCCGACTCAGATCTTCAAAACTTTGAACTGGGCCTTAAAATGCGCAAACTACCGTAATTTTGTCATGGACAGATGGTATAACATTGGTTTTTGGTCTTCTATCATGATTTTGGAAGCCATTGATGAGTATGATCTAGATCTAGACCTAGATCTAGAATCTAGATTTTAAAATTAATAAAAGTGGTCGCTCGTTACGGAAGTCCTCAGTTGAAGAATTTAACGTGCTAAAGTATAAGATCACCGTAAACTATATTATATGTATTATACGTCATTTATTTTCTTTGTTTTTGTCAATTTGATCATCCACACCGATAGAGAGTATTCAGAAATTAGGAAAAACAAGGTTTTTTTCACACCGGGTGAGAATAGCGCCAACGCTGGCAAGTCCCATGCGGGGTGAGAGGTCGATCATATTTTTATTCTCACCCGGAGTGAAAATAGCCACTTCCCAAAGTAAAATGAGGCATCTTAATACATGTGACAAAAGTAAAGTAAAGTGAGTGACGTCGCCTTTTTACTCTTGTTATTTTGACTCTGGACTTAAATTTGATTCTCAAGGAGCAAGTAAAACGCCAACATCACTTTAGTTTCAGACCCTCAGTCTCAGTGGCTCATTGCCTGGTCGTCAGGCTCAGACTCAGGCTAATGTTCAACACTTTAGATCCACTTATCTAGATCTAGATTCTAGATCTATTTTCCCTTTCCTGGAAAAAGTCATGCACAGACAGGCACTCTTTGGGAGAAGTGGTCCCGGCCCAACTCCATTATTACTCCATAACATTTTATACACACAAAAACGGAAGTCGAGTCAAAAAAGTTGAGTTGCCAGGGTGAAAAGGCCTATTTTAACGTTTTTTAGTGTGCAATCTTTGCACTGAAAACTGTTACAAACCATTATTTTTGTCCCCCCTGCACCCGCCTCCTTTTAACCCTGGTCCTGCGGGAGCTGGGTTTATGTCGCCCGATAAGCCTATTTCGGCACCTCGCCTTCGTTCTGGTTCCGAATCAGTGTAGCCCCTGGCTCAGCGCACGCGCACCGCGCATCATCTTACGTGTCATTCGGGTCCCGAGTCGGATCCCCATTCACGCAGGTCAAGTGTGTGTGCGTCAGTCTGCTTGTGTTTGTGTGCGTTTGTGGCTTTCTTCTAGAACCGCCTGCGTTGGTTCGTAATCAAGGCATGCGTCTCATTCAAAACATGCCAAGTTGGTAGCTTTAGATGTTCGTCCAATGAAATTATAGAAGAAATGGGCCCACTTAGACATGAGGCGCTCGAAAGGATAGTCAGAAAACAAGACTTCCATTTTTCTATACAAAATCTTTCAAATGAGCTTGACTTTGTATGAAATGATACTACCTCAACCTGCACGGCGCACCGGCAGTGGAATTTTAGTTGCCGCGGGGGGTTTCCCACCGGGCGCCAAAATCACGTCAGGGTCACGGGGGTCATCTCCCTGTCGCCGCTCTGTCTGGGCCGACCTAATTTTTGGTACTTTTCAACGTACAATTTAAGGTGTATCCTTGTATTTATGGTAATTCTCGTTTAGTGCACCCAAAGCACACATTTCTGCTCTTGAGACTCAAAAAAGAACGGACGTTGTAACTTGTCTGGTTATTTCGTTAGGCGCGCTTGAGTCGGCAATGCTGAATTGTAATTTTTTGGGGACTAGCGTGAATGAAAAAAAATCAATATAAAAAAAAGGCATCGTCAAAATCTGTCGAACTTTTGGAACATGAACGACATAACATTGATGCAGATACTCAGAAAAGATGGTATCTGCGCATATAATAGAAGGCTGTAATTTTACAATTTTATCCATCGGGCACACAATTCGCTATTAAGTAATTAATAATTCCTCCAAATACAACTTTATGTGTCTAATATAATCGTAAATATTCGCATATTTTCTCGAAAGTTTATAAAAGTTACCATGACGTTTCTCTATGAAAAGTACAAATCGATTTTAGTGCTAGAATACATCTTCAACGTACATCTAATACACGAACAGTATCTGTTACACTCCAGAAATTCCTTACTTTTCTTAAAATGCTAAGTCTAGGTTTTGTAAGTTGACTGAATAATAGGGATGGCTTCTCGTAATTGGGTTATAAGAATAATTTCTAGTTTTCCAGGGACACTGAATCAGCACTAGACTTTTCCAGCTTTTTTTTCGTTTCTATGACCATTTGCAATAACTGACAATGTGACTTATTTCTTTACATTCATAATTGTGTCCCCGCATATTTCCTACACAAAAACTAAGAATGAATGTTTTAGCTGTCTTTATTTTTATTCCATACAAGAAGTTTATCTCTACCCTTGTATTTACACGGTTTTGTGGGGGTTTTTAATCGCTTATATTATCTTTTTAGTTGTATGCAGGCTGCCACAGACACAGCATGATTCATGAACAAACACAGAGTAACTTTCTCTTGTTTAATAGTAAAATAAGAGCTAACGCTGATCGTCTTTAGTTTAAAAATGCAGATGTGCATCTTTCTTTTCTTATAACTTGACTATTACTACTCTCGCAGATTTAAGATTTCTCATGGTAAAAGACATGATATTCGTAGTATGTTTAACACAGATTTTGGAGAGATCTGTCAAGCCTTTTTTAAATTAACAATCATTTATTCATAAGTTTGTAACTAAAATAGGACAAATTGGGCACTCTACAAACACTTGTCTAGAACAAAAACTAAGGCACAGAAACTAACCATTCTAACGCAGAATAAATTTCAAGACATTGAGCTTTTAGTACATCCGCGTAATGGTTTGCTATGTGGGATGGGAAGAAGTTATATCGTTTTAAACATAGTCAAAAATGCGAGCTTCCTGACCGACACCGGCAAAGTCGCTTCAGGGCTCATTAACCCCGTGACCCCTAGCTGGGGATCTCCGGCGAGCTGCTGAGTCCCGCGAACTAAAAGTAACTGAATCAGGCGAAAAGTGACGCAGTGCCTGATAAAAAATAAGCTTGTTTTATAGTTTTGAATACCATTGTGCAGGTACAAAGAATAATTTGAGTGTAAAACATTCGGAATTGACCTATATTATCCCCTTTCGAACCTCGGGTCATTCATAACAACAAGAGCATCCAGAAAGGTTATTCAAATGAGCGTAACTACTCGTAATGTCTTATCAGCTTGTAAGAGGGGGTTATTCATGTGTTTGTAACACTTTATGAATAGAAAGCTATGAAAGATAGAGCATTATTTTCATCATCGGTTAACACACTCCCACGGTATTCATGGCGAAAACACACGTTTCCTGACGCGCGCTGTACACCAACAGTACACACTGAGTGACCCCGGCGGCCTGCCTGGCACGTCCGACGTAATGGGTTGCTGATAAGATTCACGTCTCGGCACAGACGCAGGACAAGAGTTAACGCGACTTTCGTTTTTGTTTCTGATTGTGTAAATAAATGTATAAATGTCTATGGAGTTAGGCCAAGTCCACTTCTCCCGAAGAGTGCCCACAGACACAGGGCCGGGTATAAAAAAAAGATAAAAGTGCATTTTAGATGCGTAAATTTTTAGATTCAATGTTCAACAGTAACACATTATTATTACTTGCGTTTTTAGCACATTCATGAAGCTACAGCGAGCACCAAGCACACCTCTGTGATTGGCCCAAATATAGATGACGTATTTCCGCCATCTATTTTTGTCGTCTTCCTGGGCTTCCCTCGCCAGTTGACTAGATCTCACAGTGGTGCTCCCGCTTAGCGCGCAGTGGGCTACGTCACTAGGTTTCATCACTGACTGCTTGGGCTGTGTGTGTATGCGTGTGTGTGCAGGTGCACGTGTGTGTGTGTGTGTGTATATGTGTGTTTGCATGGTATGTGGTATTAATGCCCGAAAAAAAAAACACGGCAAGATCTAGTCTAACCTTAGCCTCCAGCCCAATCTAGCCTAGTGCTGCTAGCCCTAACACAAACCCATTAGTAACCCTAAGCCTTACCTTGTAATCCAAGCCCAAATCTAGTTAATCTGAATATGAAACATGCAGATCTGGAAGATTGAAGACCTCCGGTTTGTATAAATAAAAGATTTTATCCTTTATAAGTCTATTTGGAGGCCTTTTGCTCTTTGAGCGTTAATTAGGGTCTGGCCCTGTAATTTCATGGGACACGTAGTAAATAGTAGCCTTCTGATTGACTGTTGGCCACAATTTTCATCAAATGCAGCCGATTTTCATTCAAAAACAGACCTCTTTGAATTTGAAGGATTGGATCAAACTGGGCTAAAATGATTGGGAAATCTAGCCACTCTCAAATGTATCAAACCATTTCAAATAGTGATTGGATCAAACTTTCTGCAGTGGCAGTGGATATTATCTTTCTCTGCTAACCATCATTTTAACAGTCATTGACATTACCAAACTTAAACCTTCGCTACCGGCATCTGTGGTGTAGCTTGTGCTTTACTTCGTTGTCACATGCAGAAGACCTGACTTCAACTCCCACATGGGGAGAATTTTTATTGAGTTCTTTGAACTTTCTACTGGGACATCCTAGCCCTCACAACTCAGGTTGGCCCTGACAGCCAGATTCAGAGCTCAACTCCTAAATTATCTAAATTGTGATGATGGGGCCGTAAAAAACTCAAGTACATTGATGAACCTTTGCTCCAACGAAAGGATAAAGTGGCTACTGCAACTGCAAAGTCATCAGTGTAATCATTAATGATCCCAGGGAGAGGCTGACAAACTTCTGTTGATTTTGCCCTATTGCTGACTCTTTTCTATGTAGGTAATTTTTAGACAAATTTGTACTTAGTCAAGTGTTCTGCAGTTACAAATATTTTTCATGAAATTTCCGTTGTTTTGGATTAATTGGCTGTAAAGTTGTGGTGTTGCACTACAATGAAGTGATCAGTGCACATCCATTATAAGAATTATTAACATGTGAAAAGATATTGCTGATACCATGCTTATTTACTTTCACTCTAAAAAGTCAGTTTTAATTTGATTTTCAAGCCTCAAAAAATTTTTTTGACTTTTTTTCTTTTCAGATACAAGCCTCTTCCCGCTGTGTATCATCTCGCTCACATTCAGGTGACAGGTCAAGTGATGATTATTATGCATATAGAGAGACTAAACGTGTCCGTAATTATGACGATTCTTCGGGTAGTCAACGGCATCGGAGAAGTTACACAGATAAAGGGGAATCCCGTCGCAGCCCAAGACGTGAGAGCAAATTGTCATCTGGACCCAGTGATCTGAATATAGATGCTCTTCTTCAAAATGATCGAGTGAAGAATGTACTCCTAGCTGGTATTTCTAAAGCTGCTGCAAAGCTAAATGAGACTAGCCGTAGCAGATCACCAGAGACTGTTGCTTATCACAGCAAGTCGTCCAAGTCTCCATCTCAGGTCTTAACCAAAGAGGAGGATGTGGAGCGTGCCATTATATTCCAAAAGGGCTCAACATATGGAAGTGGAAAGATTCACAAACAAATTGATTCCTCGTCTGCTATCAGCTCAATTAAGAAAGCATTGAATTTGTTTAGTGATAAGACTCAGTCTTCTCGAGCACAATCAGACAAAACAGGAAGTGGCAAATCACAAGCATCCGACTCTAGTGTCGTTAATGATGATGGTATAGCTCTGGGAAATTCTCCAGACAAAGGATTGACAAACAAGCGAGCAGTTGGCCCGTATGATGAGGTTCAAGAGCAGCTTTATGCTCAATGGCAACAGTCTTTAAAACCTAACCCTGGGTCTTCAAAACTAAGAGAAAGGGAAAAGTCAAGTAATTTTGCAGACAAAGTCACGTTGCCAAAATCCAAAAGGTTACCACATGAAGTTGAGAAAAAAGAAAAGGGTGCTGGTTTTGATTATGCAGTAAATGATATCCTTCAGGCCGTTGGTTTCAATGCTGATCTATCCAGAAGAGTGCAAGAATTGGCACGTAAAAAGAATCAGGAGGAAGATAATTCAAAAAGAAAAATTTTAGGTAAGCTGACTTCTCTCTTACACAGAGATGAGGATGAAAGATGGAGCAAAGATACTGCAGATGCTTTGAGGAGACATGAGGATTCTTCTGACACTGAGGAAGCTATAGCGGAGACCAGGAGATCAATAAGTAGGGATGATCAGGTCACAAGGCACCGAGATGTGCATGGGGACTCACCCCCAGCTCAATCCAGAAGCGGATATGAGAAACTCCTTGATGACCTTGAAAATCGGATCAGTGGACAACTTCAGGGCAATATAAAAGAGGAATATCACTACCCTGAGGAGCAGGAATCTGGTATGACTATTCCCCTTCTTGTTGCTAAACTAAGGAAGAAATATGAAAGCAATGCCCCTGGTGACAAATTCGATGTCCATGCCTTGGCGAAGGCCATAAAGGCTGAAAAAGTTTATGCTGCAAGTAAATATGGACATAGTGAAGACTTAAACGCACCTCAAGGAACCGCTGTTCGATCAGATGAGTTTTCTTATGATTCTAAATATCCACCTTTCAAAGATGACACATCTCCTGTCCGTATTTTCAAAAAACGAACCATCTCTCGCAGTTCTTACAGAAAGAGAGAAGAGTATTTGCTGGACGAGGCCTCCAGACATGAGGATGAGATGAGACCATCTGGTCCAAAAATGAAGAGAGTTGTCTCTCCCAATGAAGACAGACTAGGCAGCTTTCGACAGGCAGCTGCACCTCATTACCAGAATCTGGAAAGGGATAGTGAAGTTACAAGAAGGGACATTTCACCTGGACAATCAAGAATTACTAGAGGGCGTCAATCGAGGTCTTCAGATTCCTCTTCAATCTGCTCAAGTGACAGAGAGAGATCTAGGCCTCTCAAACGGCGACGTTTAAGAAGTAGGGACAGGCGAAGGTCGCGGAGCCCTTGGAAAAGACGATCAAGAACACCCGATAGACGGATGTTGTACCATCCTTACTCTTCCAAGTGGAGGTCAAGGTCAAGAGACAGTCAACCGAGACAGGACGACTGGCAGTACTCGAGGGATGAACGCTCGAGGTCGTCATCAAGACAGAGGTCTCCTCCACCAAGAAGACTCCAGATTCACAAAAAATCATCTGCTGCTGACCATGTCATTGAGACAGATTTGGAGAAAGCAGCAGATAAAGGAGAGGTTTTGTACTTGAAGGTAAGCTTTCACTCCCTGTCAGAGTGCAGTTCATCTTCACTTTGACTCCCTCTCCTAAATTGTTACAGAGTTTGTGTGGTGTGTTTTTGTGAGTGGGCTGTCTTTTAAGTGGTAAAGGTGAAAACTGAATAGGTTTTGGTGATTTTCATTATTCTGTTGTTAAATTATGTACAAGTGTCCTATAGAGGCGTAGAAATGTTTTTGTTTATCATGCCTTGAATGGAAACTATTGGTTTTTTAAATCTGATTCTCAAAGCAGTGGTATCATTTTGCTGTGCAGTCTATTCTTAACTTTTACTCTTTTTCTGTTGCAAGTCTTCTATAAAAATTCAATTTTCTTCCTCCCCCACTCCCTAGGAACCTCAGAAGAAGACTGGGGACCCCAACATCATTGAGATAAGTGGGAGCTCAGGTGGCAAAGTACTCTATGACTATATTGATGCAGGAGAACATTGGTGTTCTCCCTGTCGCTTTGTCTATGACGATATGCAGCAGTATCTCAAACATTGTCATGGCGACAAACATTTGAAGGTAAGGGGGATATTGAGGTGTCAGTATTATTTTTTCTGATTTTTTAATTTTTTAAAATTTACTTTTATGTAAAGACTTGAATAAATGGGTTGTACTCTTTTGTGTACTTTTGATCACAACAATTTCTGAATTTCTGTAATGATGCTTTTTGGACAAAATTGTCAGTAGCTCTGATCAACTTATTATACAGAAACTTACTTTGTCTGCAAAACCTCAGTGTCCTGAAGCTGTCCAGTGCACAATGGTCTGGCCATTAATTTCTCTTAGGCCACTTGCCTTTAACTTACTTAAGACTGTAGCATTAAGTCTGCTGTAGTTTACATGTAAAAAGGAACAAAGTTTTCAGAAACATGAGAACCTGTACTTAAAAGTAATGCAACCAGCACATTTCTGCTCAGCCGTTTCTAAGGTGAGGGCAATCTGTGTTGTTGGGTTTATACTGAACATAACGAAACAGATATATCATAAAGATACACAAGTTTTGTGCTATGAATGTAAGTAGGAAAAACCCAGAAAGTGATGATCTGATTAGATTTGCCAACCAGCTCTGTTGGCGTAGAAAGAAAGAAATCTGTGATTGATGTAGAATGTTAAAATCATACCTTTGCCTTTTTGTTTCCTTTGACAACTGCGTCAGCAGCAAAGTGACATGCAACCACTAATTTTAGATAGTACTTTCTTTTGATTTCCTAATGTTTAATGAACCTTTCAGCAATTTTACAAGTTTCTTATAACTTAGCAGTGGAATTTTAGTCTACATAGATATAAAATAGATAGCTTGTTTATAAGTATATTTCTAGTAGGAAAAATACTCACTTTAAGCATCTCATATCGACATAATTAATATGCAGTTCCTATTTAAAGAGCTTGTCTTGTAGCCTTCTTGTCTTTGTGACCGGCAAAAATTTAAAGTGGGAATGTGCAATATAATCCTTGGTCTCTTCTGCTTTTCGCACAAAATACATGAGTTTGATTTTCATATTTATAAGTTATGTTACCATCTCTTTCTTTTTGCTGGGATGTACCCCAGTCTGGGTTGAGTATGACTAACGGGGGTGTATTGAAACAGCCCCCCCCCCCCCTCCCTAAAAAAGTTATTAATGTCAATGGGGGAGGAAAAAATCGGCAACAAATTTCAGAACAAAATCTTGAGAGAGCGACTGATGATTTTTTTGGGGGGAGAACACCTAGTACATGTGTGGATATTGATTAATATAAAAGTAGTGCAATGTGAATAGTTTTGTTGGTGATTTTTTAATTTTTTTTTTCAGTTTTGGGTTTTTGTTTTTTGGGGGATTTTTTGTTTGTAAGTTCTTGTGCTTCTGGTAATGTTCAGTGTTAGATGTGGTTTTATCAACAAGGGAATGAAACACCTTGCTTATGGACTAGGGATGCCTTTAATTTGCTGTATTGTTTTTAACCAATACAATTGTTTCAGGAATTTCGCAATTAAACGTTCAGAAACTAAGAGTAAAGTGGAGTTTTATGGAACAAAATTTCAGGGTAGTTTTAATTGTTTGAATTGATATTGCATGTCAAATTGGTATCCTTTGTGAACTTAGTGGAGTATTGTGAAGTATTTCTTGATGTGTTTTCTCTCACTATTTGTTCTGCCACTTTTTTTCCTCAGAACATTGAACTACTCAGGAGACCTTGGAATGAAGGGAACATTCCAGACCAATCTGCCACTCTAAATGTTGGACTTGCAAAGGAGAGAATTAAAGGTTTGTGTGGAAAATGGAAGTGAGCTAATCCCCCCCCCCTCCCCCTTTTTTTTTTCCTCTATGTTATTTCCAATATATCTCATTCGTAATTTTTTTTTGCTGCTTGGTTTGTAAGATTTAGATATGTGTGCACTAGGTGTGATATAACTTTCTTATTACAACATTACTAATTTAAAGCCTTTTTGATAAATAAGTTCATTGTCTGTTGTTTTTTTTGTTTATTTGGTATTTGCATATATATTTGTAAATCAGTACAGTGGAAACCTGATATAACATGGATGTTTGGACCAGAGAAAAGTCCTGTTGTATCGGATCCTTGTTAAATCAGAAATGCAAGGGAAGTAAGCATTTGTGGACTAATCCAGCTGTATTTATTCATGGGTAGTTTCCCTTGCCACAAGGACCCACTGACAGGGGCTTTGGCCATGTGGCAAGCATGCGCATGACACATTACGTGTACGTGTAGCTAGGCTTAGGGCTCGATGGAAGTCTGCAGCACACCACAGCCCTCTCTCGCTTCACCCGCTGCGTGTTCTTGCAATTGCGTGGTTTGCTTGGGCTTGCTCCATCACTGTGTTTCTCTCTCTCTTTCTCTCTCTTCCATCACTGCATTACTCTCTCTCTCTCTCTCTCTCTCTCTCTCTCTCTCTCTCTCTCTTCTCTCTCTCTTACTTTTTACACATTGTTAATGAGCCTTTGTCCCTGCTAATACCGATTGGGCATCGATGAGGCCCTGCTATTGCCGATAACTTTTTAAAAAGACTAAGAGTAGGAAAAGACAGGGCTTTGAAAAATCCCTGTTATTACCAGATCCCTGTTATTACTGGGCCTGTTATATAAGGTTTCCACTGTATATTAATCGTCTTTATTTTATATGTATTCAGTGCATTATATAGAACAAAATAGTTATTCGGCCTGTGCTCAGCATTTTTTCAATTATTGAACCCTTTTTTCCTCAGGTATGGAGATGTTGTGTCCTGTCATTGGCTTCTACTGCACACTGTGCAGGCAGCATTGTGCAGACTTTGGAGCAACTGAGAAGCACATGAAAAGTGCTGTTCACAATAGCAACTACACAGTGAGTATTCTAGTCATCCATTCTCTTGTTGGCATTATTTTTTCTTCCTTTGCACTTGCCTAAATAAAGTTGTAAGGGTTTTTAGAGTATGATGTTTTTTAAAACAATGTTTGTTCATTTTATTTGTCACAAAATACAAACCTAGAATATTTATTTCATTTGTTTAATTCCAGTGCTTTAGTTTAAAAAAGTGGGGGGGGGGGAATTTGTTGTAAATGTTTTTCACAAGATTAGTATGTTCAAAAGGGACAGTGCTTTTGGATTAGTACCCTCCAGTTTTATTACAGTGGAGTCCACTTATAACGAGTCCGGAAAAAACGAGAAGTCTGTTATAAAGACACTATTCTAAAACCCCGTTTTTTTCTCCTCTCTATCTTTGTAAATAAAATACTGCTATAGCGCTATCAGACAAACATGCGAGTCGGTTATAGCGGAATATTGCTGCTGCTGTGCACAGTGCATAGGCCAATTATACATAATGCAAAACCTCGCCAATTGAGAAACTTGTTGGTGATCTAGCGAAACAAAGAATAGGAGAGCCCATGTGTGTCAACAATGAAGGCCGGAGTGACTGAGAAGGGAGGGTGTGACATGTGCATACAAGCAGAATGCATCGCGTGATAAGCCAGCGTAAGCCTAGTTTAGATTATCGAGGCCTACCATGCCTCTCACTTCTCCGATGCAGGGATGGAGAGGTCACAGCAATGTGATGGATGGAGCGAATGTGTGACGTGTGCGAGCAGACGGAATGCACCACAGGGTGGGGTGGGGTGGGAGAAAACACAGCGAGCGAGTTAGCCCAGAGCCCTTTCTTTCTGATCGCCAAAGCCGAGCTGCCAGTCCACATCGCTAGATCTAGCGCTAGATAAACCTGATTCGAATTTTGATCAAGTAAGACCTAAAGGTCATGTTGAAACAAAATCATCATCGGGGGAGATAGCAAAAGGAAATAAACAGAACACCAAACTCATAGATTAGGCCTACTTTACAGTTTTCCTTGAATTTATTACTGGACCCCTTATAGCAAGAATCCTGCTATAACGGACATTTTGCTCCGGTCCCCACCCTCTCGTTATAACAGGATTCCACTGTATTTAACCAGACACACATAGTCACCTTGATGACATTTATCGTGTGGGTGAGATAATGCAGTTTTCTTTTAATGAATCTGGGGTTGTACTTAATATTGTGTATGGTTTATCTGTGAATGGTAGCTCTGGAGATGACTGGATTGCTGATCAGCAGGTCGATTTTTGTGGTAAAAATGATACAAGTTGTGTCTTTAATTATTGGAATGAATCAGTATTGGATGGACTTATGTCTCACCCCATTTTATTTGCAATAGAGGCAGACAAAGTACCTTTTATTCAGAAAAGAATATACAGTCAAACCTGCTCTGAATGCCACTTGTATAAAACAATCACCTATATAAACGACTACTTCCCATTTCCTCCCCCTGCGTATTTTTTACATTATAATGTCAGACGGCCACCTGTCTAACAAAGTCAATTTTCTCATCTACAATAGGTGGCCATCTTACACAGATTCGACCTAATCACATTTATATGCTGTTATCGCTGTTGGATAGCAATTGAAATTTTGCCAATTGTTCTGAATTTTTTGTCGTTGCTTTCTGCTCACCAGGAATTTACAAGAAAATATCCAAACTATGAGGATCAATTACTTGTGGAGAAAACAAAGGTGCTGGAAGAGAGGAAAGCAAAGAGAGTCTCTGCACCAGGGCCTGTAACAACCATGGAACAAGGATGTCAAATTATTTATCTCTCTGAGTCAGAGGATGTCACAGTGGTGGATATGGACCTTCAGGAAAACGACAGTGGTGAGATTATGAAAGTTGAGGTGCCGACAACTTCAGAGCAAGCTGCCCCTAGTGTTAGCACCAAGCTGGATGCTGTGATTTCCAAGACGCACAGTCCTGCTGTGACGGCCGAACAACAGGCATTGGAGGATGAGGAGATAAAAAAGAATATAGTTATGAGCTGGGAGATGTATTCAGATGAGGAGGTGATGCAGGATAAGTCACCGATCGACAGATCAAACAGGGACACGCTGTTGGCTGACGTCCTTTGTTTTGGTGTGGATGAGTTTCGACGGCTTCAGAGGGAGGACCAGACTCTCGCACAAAATTTCCTAAAAGCTCAAAAGGGCCACACAATAACTGTAGAAAACATTCGAGTGTTCTTTCAGACCTTTGACAACGTACTCTTCTATTGTTTGCAGAAAAACGCTATTTTTAAGTTTTCTCTCGTGGTACCCCAGGAATCGCGTCTCCGAGTGCTGGACTTCTATCATTGTCCTGCATCCTCCGGCTCCACCCACGATGACCCGACTCACCTCAGTGTGAAGGAGACCATTCGGAAGATCAACGAGAACTTTTACTGGCCATCCCTGCCTAAATCAGTCCGCACACATTGTGCAAAATGTGTCTTGTGTCAGGAACTGGAACCAGAGGCACTGGCAGAAGATGACAGCGAGCCAAATGATAGTTCAGTCACTGTTGAAAAGGCTGCAGGTGACAGCTCTTACACAGTAGAGGATTGTGGCGATAATGAGAAAACGGTCACGTTGTCAGAAGTCAAGACTGATGATGAGCAAGGTCAAAGCTCCCTGTCAACGGAGGTCAAGGTAGATGAAAAACAAAGTCAACCCTCCACTTCATTTGAAATCCAGGCTGATAATAGATCTGGTCAACCCTGTGCGTCATCAGAGAACAAAGTAGATGATAAGAAAGGTCAGAGCTTAACATCATCTGAAGTCAAGGTTGTTGATAAACAAAGTCAACCTTCCACATCATCAGAAATGAAGGATGATGATAACCAGGGTCGAACCTCCCCATCATCAGAGGCCTGTGGTAGGAACAAACAAGATCAAGTCTCAGGATCATCAGGGGTCGAAATTGACGATGAACAAGCTCAACCATCCTCATTGGATATTCTTGATAACAATGGACTGTCTAATGAACCTCCAGCTGGGATGAAGGATCTTTCAAGTAAAATGCAAGAAGGTGATACAGAGATCAAGAAGCAGGAAAAATCAGAAAGTGATCGAAATATGGATGGATTAGCGATCAAAGTCGGAGAAGATGTAGAGATGTGTGGAATGAATGATGTGGGAGGTAGTATGTCAGCTGGTACTGGTGTAGACAAAGAATTGTCAGAAAGTAAAGGAGGAGAAGAGGTTTTACAGAGTGAGGAAGATGGAACAGGGGGACAAAACTCTGGAGCTGGTGATGTCGAAAATGTGTCAGAAGTTGTGGAGGTGAGCAAAGGGAACGGTGTCCAGGGTGGAGGTGAAAGAGGAGGAAATGGCCTGGGAAGGGACGGGAGAGGTGCAGACCAAAGCAGGGTGATATCTGCCGACCATGAGTCGGAGGTAGAGGAATGTGAGACTGCTGGTCCCTTGGAAATGGAGAGGAAATGCACAGAGGAGGTACAGATGCTGACAGATGCAACCAGTGCATCCTGTAGTGAGAACTCAGCAACAGAGACAGTGACAGATGTTTTCCCTGTTAGCGTAATGACAGACTCGAAGACAATGGGCAGTCAGTCAGAGTCATGTATGGACGTGGAAGTGTCTGAGCAGGGTCAAGAGAACTCGGCTGTACCAGATGGCGCGACAGCTGGCGTCACTGATGCAGAACTAGCAGATGGTCAAGTGGACTTGGTTGAGACGACTCCTGCAGTTATTGAGGAACCAGAAGGTTGTCAGAAAAACTTGGATGTGCCTTGTAAAGGGATGTCTCCAGTAGTTCATGTAGAACCAATGCCTTGTCAAGAGAATTTAGCTGTACCCAATATGGCAACTACACCCCTAGTTGTTACAGAGTCTGGTGAGGAGAACTCTGCTGTACCATATGTTGTGACAGCTCCTAATGTAGCTATGGAACCAGAGGGTGGTCAAGAAAACTCAGGAGTGCCTGATAACAGCAAGCAGGATTCTCTGGTGTCCAAGATGCACAGTCCAGATATGACGGTCAAACAGCAGACAACTGGGAATCTGGCCTTGAAAGGAAAAGATGACGAGGATACTTTTGAAAAGGAGGATGTTAAACAGAAGATGGAGTTGCTGAATGAAGAAGTAAAAACAGTGAAGGAGAAAGTAGAAAAGGGTGAGATAAGAAAGAATGTTGATATGGACTGTGAAAGGAATTCAGATAATGTGATGGTACAGGAAAAGTCGCCCATCGACAGAGCGTACAGAGACACACTGTTGGCGTCTGTCCTTTCTGTCGGTGTGGACGAGTTTCGGCGGCTTCAGAGGGAGGACCAGACTTTAAAACAAAATTTCTTAAAAGCTCAAAAGGGACACACGATTACTGTTAAAGACGTTCGAGTATTCTTTCAGACCTTTGACAACGTACTCTTCTGCTGTTTGCAGAGAAAAGATACGTGTAAGTTTTCTCTGGTCGTACCCAAGGGAATGCGTCTCCAAGTGCTGGACTTCTATCATTGCCCGTCCTCCTCTTATGGCTCCACTCAAAACAATTCAAGCCACCTCAGTGTGAAGCAGACCATTCAGAAGATTGGTGAGAACTTTTACTGGCCGTCCCTGCCTCATTCGGTCCGTGCATATTGTGCCAATTGTGTCCAGTGTCGAGAACTGGTACAAGAGGCAGTGGCAGAAGAGGACAACAAGCCAAAGGGTATTTCAGTCATTATTAAAAAGAGTGCAGGTGACAGTTTTTGCACAGAGAAGGATTCTGTGGATAACCAGAAAACATGTGCGTTGTCAGAAGTCAAGATTAACGAGGAGCAAGGTCAATGCTCATCATCAACAGAGGTCAAGGCTGATGAAAAACAATGTCAAAACTCCACACTGCAAGAGGTCAAGGTTAATGATGAACAAGGTCATAGCTCCACATTGTCAGAGGTTAAAGTTGATGATAATTATGGTACATCCCTGACATCATCTGAGATGGAAGTTGATGATAAACAAAGTGAAAGCTGTGCAACATCTGAGGTTGTGGTTGATAATGAACAAGGTAGAACTTCCCCATCATCAGAGGCCAAGATATGGGATGAACAAAATCAGATTTCCGGATCATCGGGGGTCACAGCTGATGATGAGCAGGCTCAGCCATCAACATCAAATGTTATCGTTAATGACGAACCTTCTAATGAGCCTTCAGCTCGGATGGAGGCTCTTTTGAGTGAAGTACAAGAAGGTGATAGTGAGATCAAGGAGCAGGAAAAGTCAGAAAGTGTTAGAAATGACAGTGAGTTTGCAGTTGAAGTCGGAGAAGATTTACAAACTGATGCAAGAAATAATGCAGAAGAAAATAAGTCAACTGATCTTGACCAAGAATTTTTAGGAAGTAGAGGAGGAGAAGAGGTTTCACAGAACATGGAAGATGAAACAGAGGGACAAAACCCTCGAGCTAGTGATGGGGAGAATGTGTCAGAAGCTTTGGAGGTGAGCAAAGCGAGAGGTGTCCGGGGTGCTGGTAAAAGAGGAGGGAGTGGTCGGGGAAGGGGCAGGAGAGGTGCAGGCCAAAGCCAGGTGCCATCTGGTAGCTGTGTGTCGGGGGTGGAGAGTTCTGGTGATTCTGAAACAGTGGAAGAACTCATGGAGGAGGTGCAGATGCTGACAAATGCTATTGATACGTTCTTCAGTGACAGCACAGAGATAGTGACAGGTGCTTCTGTTGGCGTAAAGAAAGGCTCAAAGGTAATGGGGAGTCACCCAAAATTTTGTAAGGATATGACAGTGTCCGAGTGTGTTCACAAGACCTCGTCTGTGCCCGAAGAAGTGAAGTCTCCCAAATTTTCCACAGAACCAGAACATGTTCAAGGAAACTCGTTTGTGTCTGGTGAGACAATGTCAACCCTAGATGATGCAGAACCAGTGTCTAGTCAAGAGAATTTGGCGATGCCCAACAATGCAACAAGTTACCTTATTGGTACAGAGCATGGTGAAGAAAACTCGGCTGTTCCCAATGTTGTGACAGCTCCTGTAGTAGATATAGCATCAGAGAGTGGTCAAGAAGCTTCATTAGTGCCTGATATTACAACGGTTCCTGTTGTTGACATGGAGCTAATGTCAACTCAGGGAGGTAACTCTAAACCCTGTGGGGAAACAGTACTTTGTAGTGGTGAAGGAAAGAGTGCTTTATGGGATCTGCCTGCTGGGCAGAACCAGGCTGTGCTTGGTACAGATGATGATGAAACCGACCAAAGAAACTTGGTGTCCTGTGAACAGGTTGTGGGCCCTACATGTAAAATGTCTGGTTCTGGCGAGACTGAGGACTCAAATGCTGTCTCTGTTACACAAGGGAGTGCTGAACTGTCTTCACCTTCTCTTGCTAATGAAGTCTGTGACTCCTCCTCTCATGTCAAAACTGAACCCAGTGCTGGAGATGATTGTGCAGAGAATGAGCCAATTGTCACATCGTCGGAGATTGTCGCAGGGAGCAAAGTGAAAGGTGGGGGCAGCGGCCGAGGTCGAGGTAAAAAAGGAGGGCGTGGCAGGGGGAGGGGTAGGAGAGGTGCAGCTCAGAGCAGGGCTTCAGCTGCCAGCAGTGAGCCAGTGGCAGAGAAGTGTGAGACTCCCAGTCTCTCTGAGACAACAGGGGAACACTTGGAGGAAGAACAGATGGCAGTAGTTGTGAAGGGGGGGTCTTCAGGCAGGACGAGAAGCAAGCGACTGACGGGAAAACAGAGTGCTTCATCTCCTTTGTAGCTTATAGCTCTGGACTCAAGCTATTTTGTTCTATTTAGGTGATACCAATGTTTTACAAAGCTGTAAATTGGATAGCTGTGGATTTACATCAAATAATTGCTTTTTTTGCATATATATATATGAGTTGAGGAGAAATTGTTCATAATTATAATGAGTTGTGAGTATGAGTTCTTCAAGTGTCTTGACTGTCGGGCCTTATTGCCTTCTTTTGGAGTGCAGTTTATAGATTCTCACTTATGATCCAACAACCATTATGATAATAGAAAAGTTATCAGTATAGGAGGGGTTTGTGTACTACCATTCTTACTCTTATTGAAGATGCATGATATTCACTAAAATGCATTGTTTAGCTCATTCATGGCTAGCTTTGAGGAGGACAGTGAGTTAATACCGCTGGGTATTACTACCATCAAAATTGTTCAAGTTGGTCACCTATAATTAAGAGAAGAGTGGTTATTTTGGACAGGCGGACATCTTGGACTGTGTCATTATTATAATATTTTTTTAATCGCAAGAAGTGAAGTAGAAGTGGCCATTGGCATTAGAGCTGGTTTGACTGTACCGGTACTTGATTGCTTAGCATTAACAGCTAACTTCACTTTTAAGCATCAAATCATAGCTCATGGTGTTCCTTCTAGTTCTTTTTATGCTTCTACTTCTACTCAATGTAATTTATGAAGTAATTGAAGAGTTAGGAAACAGTACATAGGCCATGTTATTGAGCACCATGCTTTCTGTGCAATAATTGTTTATGTTGTGAATATTATTAGAAAATTTCTGACTTAAAACTTTGTATGAAATTTCAGACTTGTTGCTTTGAGCTGCTGTGTCTCAAAGCTACCGCCATTGCTTCTTCGTTGGTTTCTTTTTCTTTTTCAGTTTGCATGCATGTACTTTTGAAAAATGTTGGCATGCGTTGAACTGAGAAGCGATGATTGCAGATATTGTCTTGTGTTGCATAGTTTCATGTGGTTTTGGGGTTGTACATAAACGTAGTTCTAATGCATTTTTTCTTGTACTAGGCTTGCTATGTGAAAAAGTGATCTGGTCCAGATATTCAAAGATAAATAAGCTTTCAAGAACCCCGTATTTCTTGGATTCCAGGATCAAGATTGCAAGAAAGTTTTGCCCTATCAATTGACTGTGCTAGTGTTTAGATATTGTACTGTATGAGTTTCATGGAGATGTCTTTGCTGAAGTAACTGTGATTCAGTCCTTTAGCCAGATGGCTCTTGAGAACTTGACTTTTCAAGAAATCCAGTTGTTGAGTCTCCAGGTGTTGGCAGATCCTCAGGTGAACTCTCTGTGGCAACTGTTCTGCTCTGATCAATGTCCTTTAGAGAATGGCTTTTGACTCTGATTAATCTCTTCTTTAATGAAGGAACCCCAGGCTTATCCTTTTCTTCCTCCTCCTCCCCCTCTCATCTTTTTCTTCTTGTGGGGGTAACCTTAGCTCTTTTGGTCTCAAGCAGGATTGTGGTACAGGTGGCCCTGGTTTTATTCTTATTTTTTTCCACTTGAACTAAAGCATTCCAGTCTTTGGTTCTCTTTTCTGAGAGCTTTGTTTTTAATACTTTGAAAGAAGTTTATCAAGATTTGATATCTTCTGGTTGGTGTCTTCAATCTGTTAATTAATACATGTACATGTATTAATAAAGGAATAAAAAAAGACTTTTGAGTATTTGAAATTCTTTTAGCTTACTTAACTTGTGCATGCACAGTAGGCTACAGTCTACAATACTCTTATCACTATCACCTCTGCTGCTTCTATTACAACATCCTTTTAACTGCTAAAATTAAAAGTGTTACAAGTTACAGACATCTTCTAGACTTTTTTATCAGCCCTGTTATTGTGTGTTTTTTGTTGGAGAAGTAAATGTTGACTTGAGTCCCCCATTCATGAAATAAATCAAAAGCATCTTTGGCGCATAATGTCACGGTGACATACATTCACAGAGAGTGAAGTACCCAATACAATATGCATAGAAGATGAAGTAAGTTCCAAATGGAGAGCTCAGGTCAAGTTTTCTTGTACCCTTGGAGGTATGTCATGTATGGTATTCAAGTCTTGTATTAGGAACTGTAGCGATGTCTGTGGTGTAACGGATAGGCACTTTGCTGTTAAACACAGGAGACCTAAGATTCCTGATTCTGCTGGGATGTTGCATCCTTCTTGGCTCGGGTTGGTCCTGATGGACAGGGTCTGAAGCCCGCCTCCTAAATGATCTAAATCGTGTCCATTGGGGTGTTAAAACACCTACATTGGGCTGTCCCCATTGTTTTATGCACTCCGCATAATTTAGCAAAATTTGATCTTTTTTTTTCATTATTTCTGATTATCCCTTTCTTTTTTATCATTCTTTGTTAAAATTAAAAGAATCGCATAATTTCACATTTTTGGGCTCATTTTGCATAATTTCAGAATTTTTCTTGCTTAAAACGACGGGGACAGATTGGGGGGTTTTCAGACACTATGTCTAGCTGTTTACAGAAAGAGTATCAATTCAATGATAAATTACTTTATTTGCCTTCTTGCAATATCAGTGGTCACTTTTCTTCAAGGGTGTCATTGAGCACTAACTTACAGTAACAGTAACATGGATGTCAAGGGTGAAAAGCTTGTCAGCTTGCCTTGGAACGTGATGTCCTCCCCCCCCCCAGGCTCAAGCTCAGCCCTTGGTGATTCGAATGTTAAGAATCTTGACAATTCTGCTCCGTTATGTGTAATTTTATATATATATATATTATATATACTGTTCCGTATCGTCTTCTTGCGTTCCCCTGTTAGATCTTAAGGGTAGAATCTAGTCAACCACTCGTTCTTACTTCAACTTCAACCATCAACCTGCTGGCGACTGATTTTTAAGTATGGGGCTATTAATTATTATTCCTACTTAGTAATAGGTAGCAGTAGAAAGAGTCAGTAGTAAAGGAGAGGGGGGTCTATGAGGAGGACATCGGGGGTAGGGGCCTCAATAATTTATTCATAGAGATGAAAGCAGGTGAAAGAATATGACTAGAGAACTGGGAAGGAGGTGAAAGTGAAAGAAGAAAATTTTCACGGAAAAAAATGTTGCCATCTCCGTCAGGTTCGAACCCTGGACATGTTGTGAATGAGACACTTGCAACCACCTTATCTGTAGATAAGCCCTTACTGTACTGTATAATACATGTACAATAATGTGTATTATTGTATTGAATATAATACCTCTCTGTCTGGCTGGAAGCCAATTGGCCCAGACAGACATCGTCGTAGAGACACCCCTCCTATATCTGTCCCCGTAGAATTATGCAAATTTAGATGGCCAAATTATGCCCAAAAAAAGAAAAATAATGCAAAAATTATGCAAGTTACCGTAACACTATTCGCGACATGTTTTGCACTTTTTCAACTCGAATTTTCATGATTTTCATGTATTATGTACAGAAAAATTGAAAACAGAACATATCACTAATATCAATCAGTATCAGTAATTTGTTGTGTACTTGGAAAGAAAACAATACACATCAGTCAGAAAAAAAAAATATATATATATAATCTCTGTAATTTTCAGCTGTGGATCTAGATCTATAGAAGAAAGAAAAATGGGGTTTTTTTTAAAGGAAAAAAAAGACCTCTGAACCTCTGATGCTGGCACATTACTAAAACCAGGGACTCCTGTCAAACATGAAATATCAGCAGACATGAGAACAACTTTTGAGGGATTGAAACCTTGAATGCTCAAGGAACAAAACCCCAACCCATAACCAAGATCTTCTAACAAGGGAAAGAACAAACTTGTCACTTAAATGAGACTCATTACGGTGATTACTTCCCTTTAGTCACATGGCGAGGCTTAAATTATTTGTTTTGTGGGGAAAAAACGTTAAAAACACGGGGAATCTAAAATTATGCAAATGTTGCAGAATTGCGCGAAAAAACGCGACCGCACAATCGCTTACATAATCCAACGGGGACTGCTATATAATTATTATGATACGTATAATTACTTGTGTGTGGGTGTGCGATGTTTAAATTGTTTTTGTTTGTTTTTTCATGGGGGGGGGGGGGATACTTGCAACCAAAAGCCTCACGCATTACAACAATATAGATCTAGGTCATCATACTCTCCCGTTCTTTTTCAAGCGGATATCTCCATAGAATAGGCCAAGGTGTGAGGCTAGGAGAAGGGCATAAGCCAAGGAAAGGCCAACAACAATTGATTTTATTACAGCGGAACTCTGATTCCACAAAGTCGTCCGGCCTGACCTTCAGTTTCGCTGAATCCGAGTATTCGTATTGCAAACATGAAGGTGTAGATAATTACAGGTACCGAACAAGAAATGCATAAAGGGAAGTATTAAGTTGTAGGCTTCCCTAAAATGCCTGCTTTTTCGCCCCTTTTCGACTTCCTCAGTGGGTGGTTGGCGGATGCTCTGGTGTGGTTTGCTCCTTCTTTCCTGTCAAACATCTATTGTCATTATCTCCCCTATTCTGCACTTATCTGACCATATTGCGTTGAAAGTGCCGTAAAACACTTACTAAAACTAAAAACGACTTCCTCATTTAAAAGCTGTTCGGTTTTAAATGAGAGACATTTTCGTTTATTTGATGTCATACCGAAGACATGCTGGAAAATTCCAGAAAAATACATTGAACTCTACCAAGCACACACTGCGAAAGGGCCAATTCGTTCAAATGCACGTCTGTGTAATCTATGAATGACGTATTGTTTGCCGAACAACAAGTTGTGTTGCTGTGTAAGCCTTGCAATAGCATACGGCATCATTTGATTCCACAGACCAGCGCGCAATTCATCACGTAGATCTCTGTCAAAATTAGCTTATCATTGTAATACTTAAATAGTGACCGGTAGCCGGGGGGGGGGGGGGGAATGACTGACGCGTTTGCTATATCTCAAAAGACGTTCTACGCCAGGACCGAGTGTGCCCCCTCCCCGCCCCAAGACTCACGTGAACACAGTCTCACGTGTGCAGGCCGCCCGTCTGACCCCGACACACGTTAAGACACGTGCACATGTCCACAACGCGTGTGTTTGGTATGAAAGAAGGGCGCTGATTGGTCGCATAAGATAAAAACAATCATCAATCATCATCATCAAATGCCGTATGCGGAAGACATCGGCGATCATGGTTCTCCATTCATTCCTTTGCTCGGACGCTCTCAAAAAAGCCCCGTCACCCATCTGTTTAGGTTCTCCAAGTTCAGAGGAAACCTGATATAACAGGGATAGTGGGACCAGAGAAAAAGTCCTATTACGAGTACATTGTATATCAGATTCCTGTTAAATCAGAAATGCAAGGGAAGTAGGCATTTGTGTACTAATCCAGCGGCATTTATTCATGGGTAGTTTCCCTTGTCATTTTATTTGAAGATTTTGCCAGTGAGAGCTAGATGTTCAAGACAAGACCCTTATGTCTATTCTGGTGTCCCAAAAACTGCATTTGACGTTTCCTGATTTTTTTTTAACATTGGGCGTTCCACGTGAGCTTCATCAAGCGCTACCTAATTTGATTTTTTTTTCCTTCCACAATACTCCTAGCAGTCTCCTAAGAAACCACATTTCAAATGCTTCTTTTTTAATTTCACTGTCTTTAGTGATTGTCCAGCATTCACAGCCATTATATATAGAATGGTTGACCATGCACATAACATTTCAGAACTTTCATTTTGGTAGTCACTGAGATGTTTATATTTTTCAGGATTGGGCTCATTTTACTGAAACTAGACTATCCTTTGCCATTGTATTATAATGTAATTCTCTTTCACATGGAAAAACTCATATTGCCTAGAAAATCATTTCTCATTGGAGCATACGGGGTGCCCATTGGGAGATCGGGTCAAATCGGGTTCGGTTTGCTAGCCACTAGCTAGATTGAGGGCGCAAAGCGGCTATGGTGGCATAAACCTATCGCCCGACCAAGGAGATTAAAAGTTCTAAGCTCCTTGCGCCCGACTCGTCGATTGTATAATCGCGTAGGAAACTGCTGTGAACTGCCAGGCGCATCTCTATCAAGTTTTTGAAAGGGCAATGGCCTGAGTCCTGAGCTGAGGGAGAACGAGAATTTTATAGATTCTAGTCTAGATCTAGATCTAAACGCGTTCTCAACACCCAGGTAGACCTAAGAATAAAATTCAGTTGCATTCTCAGACCGGGTGAGAATAATATTCATTTTATTCTCATCCGGGGTGAGAAAACGGTGATCTTGTAGTTCCGTTCGAAAGTCCACGATCCATGTATTTACATTCAGTTGATTGGATTCAGTGCGCTCGCGCAGAGAAGAAATCCAGAAGTCTTGATGATGACCAAATACTTGAAATAGGCTACACAAAGAGCAGGGATGCAACTTAACTGCAAAACATCAAATTAGCCTTTTATTAGGATAAACCCCCC